AAGTACTACTTTAATAAACTATGCTTCCGCTTCCAGCTACCGCAAAATGTAACGTGGACCGATTAACAACACGCGTGATTAGCCTGAGTGTAGGCATAAATAGGGTAAGATTGGCCCTCCTCAAATTCATCAATAATTCATCAAATTAAAACAAAGAAAATCACTGCCGTGAAGGAGGTTTGGATATCCGGTCTTAATAGGCCCTTTGCAGGATCCGGTCACATGGTACTGAATTAATTACGCTGGGACGCAAGTTGCACAGTGGGACTTCCAAAACAAAGGAAAGTCGGGCTGGACTGGTACGAGTTCCTTTGTTTTGGAAGTCCCACTGCGTAACTTGCGTCCCAGCGTAATTAATTCCGTACCATGTGAGCGGATCCTGCAAAGGGCCTATTACCCAGGCAGTGAGGCCTGGGTTTACATTTCAGCTCCGTTTTCTTTTTTTTTTTTCAGGTTCAGTCACAAATCGCTGTCTGGTCTCTAAAGCGCATGCGTCACCTGCGCATGGCGGTACAGCACATGGAATTTACAGAAACTGTCGTCGTGAGAAGTTAGCACAGATTCCATGATTTGTAGGGCGATGAAATCACATACAAACGAACACACCGTTCGCGGTAGACCAACACTAAGGGACGTTAAGCATTTTCGGAACGGGTCGGTCTGCAAGCCTTACGTGAGATCAATTTACGAGCGAACATTTTGAATGAATTTATCAAGAATCATGTCATACCAAAGGAGCCATCATTCGGGGCTATCAACTCCTCAACTTGATAAAAAGCATCTTCACAAGTGTCATCGTATTTTTAGACGTAATCTTGAACCAAATAGAATCCCAGCACGAACTCAAGAACGTCTGAGCAACAAGAGCAGAAAGGTTAGAGAATTTGTATACCAATGTATCTGTTCGAGTACACCTAAGTAAAACGCACTGAGAAACTTCGTAAAGTATAATAAAGATAAAATCTCGAACTAAACGATATTCTCTCGTTATTTTCTTGTAATAGAGTTATGTGTCTTTACAAGAGTGAAACTCATGTAGCGAATTATTGTACATTTAAGGTCCAGTAATACGGGCAACATTTCTCTTCAATTTGTCTCGCAACATTGTTGCATTGCAAGTTGAAACACGTTGCGCGTATTACCACGTCTGTGACCAACTTGTCTCGCAGCAAAATACAGTGTTGCAAGTTGAGGCAACATGTTGCGCAAAGTAGACTC